CATTCATTTGACTGGGGTGCCCAAACTTTGGCACACGACTGTATCTCTGCCCACTGCATTTGATTAAAAAGAACCTTTTAGGTCAAAAACAATGGCATCGGGTTACATAAACATTTCTTGTAATAACTTTCTGTGTGGGAGCTTTAGAGGCGGACGTCACCACCACTGTGAAAAATTCTGACTTGGTTTCTTGAGAGCGGCGCATTTACATGCTAAAGTCTAATCATGCAGACATTTTCCCTTTTAAAAGTCAGAGTGAACTGAATGGTCTTGTTATTTGTGTTCTAACCTTTTTTTGTTCTCAGAAAAGCCTGAAAGCAAGATGTTATATGCAATATTCGAGTCTGTTTTATAAATAAACAACCCTGTTCAGAATAAATCTCCCACGTACATCTGAAGAGAAGCTAGCAGATGATATGGGCTCCATCTAGCAAACAGACAGATGATAGCGTGACTCTGAATGTTTGCCGGCTACCCTCGCTTATCAGTCCTGGAGCCATCTCCACGTCTGCCTCCCACTCCCACTCTCCCTGCCCTTTTCCTCAGACTCAGAGCGGTCTTCGAACAGCTCCTTGTAGATCCAGCTGTTGCTCTGGAACATCACTCTGGACGATATCTTCAAACAGGTCTACTCTCCGTGATGCATTTTCCCACCATGGCTCCTAAGTTCTAGCGAGGCTTTTCAAATGAGTACTAGTGTCTAGGATGCTTGTTCTAACCAAAGGCTTGGTGTGGTTAGCCACTGTGGTGCCTCAAGTTGCTCTGAACACAGGGCTGTTAAAGCTAAGCTAATGGAAGGGAGGGAACGTTTTAATTAGACGTCTGTTTGACTCAAACCTGGCTGAACTTACTTAAAAATGATGGTTCTTCAAGAACCATGAACACTCAAAGAACCTTTCGTGTGATTGAAAGGGTTCTTTGCAATGTGAATGTTTCTGTAGATTAATGGACAATGTGCTGTAGATGGTTCTATATAGAACCTATTTGAAAAGGTTTCTGTATAGCACCAAAAAGGGTTCTTTTATTGTGATGATGTCAGGCTTATAACAACAAAAAAATTTTTTTGATGCTGTATAGAACAATTTCAAAAAGCTTATGTAGCTTATTATGCTATATAGCATGCTATATGATTCTATACAGAACCACTGTCTTTACTAAAGAACCATTTGATCATGACATATAGTATGCTATATGGTTCTATACAGAACAACTGTCTTTGCTAAAGAACCATTTAATCATGCTATATAGCATGCTATATGGTTCTATATAGAACCACTGTCTTTGCTAAAGAACCATTTAATCATGTTATATAGCATGCTATTTGGTTCTATATAGAACCACTGTCTTTACTAAAGAACAATTTGATCATGCTATATAGCATGTTATATGGTTCTATATAGAACCACCAAATTGTTCTTTAGTAAAGACAAATCATGCTATAAAGTATGCTATATGGTTCTACATAGAACAACTGTCTTTACTAAAGAACCATTTACTCATGCTATATAGAACTATATAGAACCACTGTCTTTATAAAAGTTCCTTTGAAGAATCTTTTTAAGAGTTTATCTTCAACTTAGCACAGTCAGATTTAAGCAAATCTGAAGAAAAGGCAACTTTTGACAAACTGGACAAAGTATCTAAGGTAAGACAGTCAGCCATCATCAAGGAAGCATCACTTATGCTTTTGGCAAAGAATGTGCCAGCAGGGTAGTTAGCAGGCAGTCATAAGAGTCTGATGATGCTGCATTTAATAATGTAAGAGGTTAATTTGCTCTGCAAACTGGTGAGTGAATGCGCACTGGGCCCCTTCAGCTCTGCTGATTACATTATGAAGGAGGCTGTTCGGTGGTAAGATGAGTTGACCATCAAAAATCTGTCATCTAAAATTGTCCATCTTGCTAAATTCTTAATACAGTTGAAAACATGTATGTGTTGTAGGTTCCTTATAGTGCCATCTGGCTCATTTTCTAATCATTAGTCTCATGTATAAACTGTAGAGGGCAGCCTAAATTAAAAACTAATATACTTTATATATTTAATATACTTGATTAAAATAAGAAAAACAATGCATCAGTTCATATGTCATTTTAATACGGTAATTCTATTTTTTCTCAGCAGTGCGCCACCTTCAAAAAAGTCTCTGGTTCTTACCTGGCCACTTCATTCTAAAAGTTCTATAACTGGTGTTTTAGTGCTCAAGTCCAGTCTCAGTCTCAAGACCATGAACTAGCGGTCTTGGCTTCATTTGGACTTGGGCTTGTCTCTCTCTCGGGTAAGGTGGACCGAGTGCGATGCTTCTGTCTGAGGTAACTAGAAGCTGAGTTATTACTGAATATTAATGAAATCAGAACAAAAAGAATAAAACAGTGGGCTTCATTCACCAATATCTTCCTAACTTTTTCCTTAAATGTGTCCTTGAGAAAGGTCCTAGGAAAAAATCTGTCAGATTCATGTGTTCTCAAAGCGCAGAACTGTTCTCACCTTTGTGCTCTGGAGTGTGTGTAGAGTCTGTTCTTACCTAAGAACAAATCCCAAATAAGAAAACTGCGTAAGCGGGTTTTAAGAAGAAATTTCTCGTTAAGAGCGGTTGATGAATGAGGCCCAGTCTTTTTTCCGTATCAGGGGTTTATAAACTTTTGCAACTCATGACCCACATAAACGACCACAAAAGCTTCCACAGATTTAACTGATCAGATCGCCTTTTTTGACTCACCTAATGAGAAGGCTGATTTGTCAGGCTGAAGAGAGGAAAGCTGAGGAGTTCTGGCTCAATTTGACAGGTTTAGATACCTATTTGCAACGGTTTAGTCTCCAAGTGATGGTGCAAGTTGTGGAGTTTGAAAGTCTCATTTGAAAGGACTGAACAGGACACAGCTGTGGTTACGCATTTTCAGTTCTCACCTGTGTGAAGCCCAGATCTGTGTATTCACTGCTATATTTTCTTGGTTTCAGTTATGCTTGCACTGAAAGTATGAACATAACTAGCAAGCATTTTGCCAGAACAATCAAAAACCTTGATAGAAATGCTTTATTTTTGCAAATAATCAACAATAATTGTCATTTTGAAAATTATGTTTGGTTAAGTGCTTGTATTGTTACAAATTTTTGCGCTTAAAAACCCCTGCAGTACCAGTATGGCCCACAGGGGGGGTTAACCCCCCAGGGGTTCCACCTTTGTAAATGCTTAAATTAAATCTGTTGGCTGAGGATCTAATTGATCGTTCCAAAAAGGCCTATCTGAGTATTACTTGTGTGCTGATGTTTATCGGCTCCAAAGTTCAAACATCCCCTGAGGGCAGATCAGAATAGCTTGATCAGAATTTAGCAGGGGTGGACAGTAACTAAGTAAATGTAATTCATTACTGTACTTAAGTCGTTTTTTCGTGTATCTGTACTTTACTGAAGTATTTCCATTTTGGGCGACTTTTTACTTTCACTCCACTACATTTCAAAGTCAAATATCTTACGTTTTACTCCACTAACATTATGCGAAACCTGTCATTCCTTTTGGCTTGTGTGTAGAAAAACGTAACATGTCAAAATGAAAGAAGCGTGAAGGAATAACACCAATCAGGGCACAGCGCGCACTTTGTTTTGAGCTTGTTTTGACATGTTGGACATACCGACCCAGTGCAAGCATACGGTTCAACGTCAGTGCAGCAGCGTAAAAATACTATTCAACATAAATGATTGAACTAACCTAACTTTATTAAAATAGACCACAATATAGAAATATGTACACATATGCAGTTGTGACTGACGTGTCTTTTTCTGAATTTATACAAACACTATTTCATTTTATAGTGAATTAGTTTTGGCTAGTTTATGTTTATGAACAGAAACCTACAGATGCAGTTTAGTAAAGGAAAACTCATTTGTGATCCTGTGTTTAAAGCAAGTTTATTAAACTTAAACTTGTAACTAAGTTGCAAATAAATCTTAAACTGAAACTTTGCTTGTTTGCAAAAAGTTATTTCTGAAATCAGGCATGTAGCCAACTGAACACTTGGTTCTACCTAATGGAAATTGTTTGCCTTCAATGTTTTGTGCTTATGATAATTTTAATAGACATCAGCGTCGCTAATTAATGACATTCTATTAAAAGACTGGATTACCAAGAGTGACACTGGAGTATTTTCACCTAATGAGTTGATAGAGTCTTCTTACAAAAATGATAATAGGACATTAAAGCCATGATTAATCTTTTAGTACTTTTACTTTCAATACTTAAGTACATTTGAAGGCAAATACTTTTGCACTTTTCCTCAAGTGGAGGTCTAAAGGGAGGAACTTCTACTTTTACTGGAGTAATATTTTACCTTGGGTATCTCTACTTTAACTCAAGTACATGGTTTGTGTACTTCGTCCACCGCTGGAGTTTAATAGCCTAATAAAAATGGACGTAGTTTAGTTTATGTTCATTTGACCTCAGGCGGTGATTCCAAATATGTTTTAGAGAAGAGAGGAATAGAGAATAACCTCAACACTGCTTCCAGTTCACAAAGCAAGTTTGACTAAGACTATAAGATAATAATAATTACTAATGTTATATTACGTAGTAATCGTTTTATTCTTATATTCTGGAAAAAAAAAATCTCGAATACTAAAAGTCTCGGTCTTGACTTGGACTCAATGTGTCCCGGCCTCGGTCTTGACTTAGACTCACTGTGTCCAGTCACCTCTTAAACCAAACCGTTTGGATCCTTTACCTTGTAATATAAACCAATTTTAAAAAGCCAAAACAAAATTACAAAACTATCCAGAGCCAACAGAAACACTTAAATGGTTTCCATGGGGTTTTTCAGCAGGGTACTGTTTCTCAGAAGAGCCTTTAGCCTTTTCAGAATGAAAACTGAGCTTGTGTGTGCAATAATCCAGCTCAGTGACTAAGCCCTGCAAGTGCACGTTTAGAAAGCGTGCGCTTTGCCTTTAAGGGACAGTGGGGGGCGGAGCCAGAGCGGCCCAGCAGTGCTAGGGCTTAAAAGAAGAGCACACAGAGGAAGCGTTGTTAACGAGTCCATGTAAGTGCCGTAACAAAGTGCTGAATGCCTTCTCTTATCTGCGGCAGTGTAACAGAGCTAACTGGAGCTTCCAGACTCGCCAAGCGGGATCTTTACAGCAACATGCACTTGCTTCTGTGTACATAAGTGTGGAATAGAAAGTCAGCAGCCACAGTCCGTTCGGAGGTTGAGGTGAGTTTTAAATGCATCTTCTGCTCGGTTGTGTTTCTTTCTCAACCAATGCGTTCGTGTTTCGGATTTGCTGATGACGACAGCAGCTCTTATCAGATTCTCTGGCGAGCCATCTGATAAGAACTGTTATTGGTCTAAACCTTCATGAGAACTTAATTCATGGACTTACGGGTCATTTTTCTGTAGAGAGAGGTAGGTGGCATTTAAAGTAAGACACTTGTGTGTGTACTTTTCTGAATAATTTCAAGACTCACACTTCAGTATATTTGTGAGAAAGGGAGCTAACTTTTTACAGAGCTCCATTTTAGCCACTAATTTCTTTTTATTTTATTTTATTTTTTTTTTGCCTTTGCCTTGCTGTTCTCACACCTGTCACTATTGAGCGTTAGCAGTTTATTTCGTGCCAAAAGAATACTAAAAAGGTAGATGTTGGCTGTACTAAAAAGTACTAGTTCAGTGGGGAGCTCAGTACTCAAGAGTTTACCGGGCTAATCCTCATTTTAACTCAAGCTGCTTTTGCTAGGCTACCTTTACTACTGTTTTGGGTCATTGTTCACTGAAGTCACAAGACCTTTACTTTGGGATGGTTTTAGGCTACTCTACCCACCTTATATTATACACAGCAACCAGTTATGTAGCCTAAAACGGTCACTTTAGACATAAACATTGGATACTACCTGACGCTGTACATTATTCTATTGAAAATCAGCTGCAAAATATTCCTCCTTGTGGCATAGAGCTGTGGACTTTGCAAAACAGCCTGAGCCCACATGCTAACTTACAAAGAAACTTAACTTCAGGGGAAGTTATGTTTCAAAATGTATGCAGAATCAAATGTTTAGCATATAAAGTGATTCTGAGTGGTTTGGTGTGAAATGCTCCATTCTAGGCAAACAGAGTCAGAGTTGTTCACAGTGGTGGTGATAGGAACCAGACGTCTGAGGAGTTCAACGCCTCTAAAAGCTCCCTCACAGAAAGTTATTACATGAAAATGCTTATAAATACACTGCCTGATGTCTGAGACATTGTTTACAGTAGTTTTGTGATAAAGTTTTGGTCTAAAATCAATTTTAATCCATTCATGGTGGAGGGATACAAGAAAGGTGTTCTGAGGCAAAATAGTCCCCAAAGAAAACTTATTTTTTTAGATTGACCATTATTTTTACCATCATCAACATTGCATAAAAACTCAGAAGACATGTTTAGGTTCATTGGTGATAAATAAAATGGCTATATTGGCATTGTAGACATTGTGACTGCTGGTTCCTATCACCACCACTGTGAAGAAACCTGAGTATGCACGTTTCTCTACGAACGAACCATTTCACGCCAAACTAATCTAAATGACTTCGTTTACATCCGAACCATTAAATTATACGGAGATTTTGAAAAATCGGTGGATTTCCCCTTCTTTTTGCTTCATTTCGCTGCTGTTAGAGCAGGCTGGACGACAGTGTTAAATGAATGAATTTTGCTTTTATGAAAATGCAGTCAAATGGCAATTATGACATGCTGATAAAATACAATTATTTAAAGCTGTAGTCAGTCTATGAGGAAGAAACGCTTCAGTTTTATTGCATCAGGTAAATACAGTCAAATTACGATAGCGCACTCCTCAGCTGAGTCATCCGGAAGCTAGGCGTGATTTTTTTTTTCACACCCGTATTCCGTCAAGCCCCGTCCTCCTGGGCTACGATTGGTTAGTTGCTCGTACTCACGAGCGCTGCGGGTATAAACAGCGCGCTACGATTGGCTGGCTGCTCGTCCTCGCCGCTCGTGTTTGACAAAGTTGCTGAGAAAGATGCAGCTTGTGAGTATAAACTACAAACCAAGCGGTTTAGAGCCGGGACGCGACGGCATGATGTTGCAGACCGGAGAAGCGTGGCCTGACCCGAGGGCGAAGCGTTCTGGAAAGGCGGGCTGCTTGAGAGCCAATCGTAGCACAGGAGGCGGGGCCAGTCGCTAAGCGACGCGTTCTAGAACGGCGGACTGTTCGTATGAGCCACTAGCCAATCCTTCTGGCTTGCCGCGCAAGTAGAGCGGGTATGGTTGCTAAGAGACCGCGGGGAAGGTGGAGAGAGTGTGGGGTGTGAACTGCTTGTCTCTCCTTAATCAATGTTTTTTTAGAAATACGGTTTAAAAATACACGTTTAAGTGCAGGTTTAACTATTATGAACTGACTCCTAATGATAATGACCTGGGGAGACCAAACCTAGCTTAGTTCTGGATATGCATGTTACCTCAGTTAATGTGTCGCAGGGCTATATTAGCTTGTTTACATTGTTTAAAGTGCTTGAAATGCTTCAGGCATTGTCAGCTCAACACATTTAAGGTAGATTTTGTCATAACTGCATTTGTGAGAGACTGTAGCTAAACGCTGATGAATCTAATCACCTTCTGAAACACTTGAGTCCCATATAAAGCCTTTAGACTAGCTTTTTGTTTACCAATCCTGTGTCACTGTCACATCCCGCAGCCTCTTTGTCTCATAATAACAGTAGAACATATCAGCGTTGGCTTCCGCTGCCCATAAATACGGCAGAGAAATGTCTCTCCTGACCACTGCCAGCATGGTACGCCTTGCACCTGTTGTGAGAGGAAGCGTTCGCCCCATGGGGTTCATTATCATGGATCAGGTTGCGCTGTGTGGAGTGACTGTATCCAAGGTCCAGAGCGTGCAGGATGCAGCAGGGATTTTCTTGCTTTGTCTTACTTTCTTCTTTCCCCGTCTTTCCTTCTTGCGTTTCAGTGATTTTGATCTGTGCAATACCAACGTAGTGCTAAAGTTGCTCAAAAACTGCTTGATCTCTTTCTTGTCCTCCTCAGCACCTTTCTGAAAGTTCATTTTTACATTCTTTGTAGATGATGAAATGATTAACAGGCGGTATGCAGCTTATGTAACTGTGCTGTGTTAATGTCGTAAAACAACAGGCGTTACAGCTGAGTATTCAGCTGAGGAGTCCCTCTTAGGTCCCAGTATATAAAAACAGCCCTGTGCTTTGTTAAATGTTATTGTGTTTAATATATATATGTCAAGAATTTCTAATGAGAATGTTGGCATGCAAGGACATAAGAGGAAAAACAAGATGAAGCTTGCCTCCAAGTTCTTCAGTTGATGCTCACACAAGAGCCTGTCAGTCAAAGAGTGAAAGGTGTATTGGACAAGGCTAACCTACAGGCTGCCTTTAAGCATGTATGATGCGTTTTCTTTAACATGACAACAAACTATGCTGCAAAACACTGACCAGAGGGCAGAAAAGGTTCATGTAAGTCATTTGCATAAACATTCTAAGAAATATTTCCAAAGCATGCTAAATAGACAGCATTAGTGTCCTGAGTTATCTAGCTGGTTTCCTACGTTTTGATTGATAAAAAATGTCGCAAACACCCAGGAAAAACAAGAGTAGACTCCTGAGTGTTATGTATTTTGTTGTGTATTAGTGTGTGACAACTATGAGAACATTTATGCGGATGCTCTGTGTCCTCAGGGCTCGTAGGGGCACAAGTGTCTCGAAGTCTTGTCAAACCAAGCGTTTGTCATACCACAGCTGGTGGAGTGGAGAAAATGTTGCTCAATGCTCTGTTTTTTTTGAAAGACCTCGAGCGGGGTCCACTGCACAAGGCAGTAGCACTGCTTCATTTAGTGTCAGAAACGGCTGGCTGTATTGCAAAAGGAGAAAGAAACAGGAAAGTGGCTTGGGGGCGTCCACACTGATGACCCTAGACTTAGCAACCTTAAACAGAGAGCACTGCGCTTCTCACTTCAGACTGAAAAAACAGCATATAAAAATACTTGTGATATTTGGCAATAAAGAATCCAATTCACAAAAGCTTTCACAGGACAAAAAAATGGCTGAGAATCAGGAAAACACGTAAAATGATTCAACACATCATCTAGTGCTTTCAGACTGCTCTGTCCAAGTCCAAATTTAATGATGTGTCCCCATAGCTATTTGTTTACAAGTGAATCACCTTGTTCCCCCCTGGGCTGTGTTTCAGGTACAGCTCAGCAGCTGACAGCTTGGTGAGAAGAGCGTTTCCTGGCTTGAATGCGACCCGATTGCAGCTGGAGCATGTCCACTGCAGGCTTGACTGCCCAGGAGATTTGTTTACCCTCGCAAAGCCTCTTCCTGCGGGGCAGCCATTGCCATAGCATGGCCGGAGCCAAGCCCTCCTGGAAATATAACCATGATCTTGACAAGTGAGTGCCTCAGAACTGATACAATGGGCTGTTGACATGTTATTGTAAGGTGAGACTCGAAGATGGATTAGTTTTGTGGGACTCTAAACCTTCTCTGATAATCTCTGACAAACAGGGAATGGCTTGTCTGAAATGCTTCACAAACTGTACCTAGACACTTTAGACTATATGAAAGTGAAAGGCTTTTCTGCTTTTTTTTCCCACCTTTCAGCTTGTACTTGAGCATTGATGCTTCTATGAATTACAACCTCCAACCCCAGCAACAGGTGCCGTCATTCTTAACAGGAGGCAGTAAGTCACACCCTTTTCTTGCTCAATACAGATATTTAAATAACCAACAAATAAGACATCTGAAACAATTCCACTCATGTGTAACAAAATGGTCAAGGGCCTGTTCTGTGCCAAAGTCTAAGAGCTTTAAACTCGTCTTACATAACGGATAAAGATGCATGGTCAGTTCTCCTCTTACTGAGCATCTTTGCTCTTTTTTGTACAGAACAGAGATTCCATTCTCATTCCCCACAAAGTCCTGGAGCCCAGCCGCTGCCTCCTAAAACATCCCGTCCTACGCAGCTGTCCTTATCCTCCACGGTTGACACCTACACCCCGAGCCCTGTTGAAGATGACCAGGTGGTCCCTGTCTTCCAGCGCCTGTCTGTATCTGACCCCATCTCCCCACCTCAGACACCAAGCCGAGTAGCAAAGCCTCTTCCCCCAATCCCTGGCTCTGTGGAGCCATCTGCTGACCAGACCATGGACAGTGAGGTGGAGTCCTTTACTGGGGATGACAGTCGTTGTCTGGTGCCTGATCAAGTTCCCAAATCTCCCCTACGATGCACTATGCACAGTCGTAGGAGTTTTAGGGACTGTGGACAGATCAATTATGCCTATTTTGAAGGGCCAGTGTTGTCCCACCAAAGCAAGCAACAGCAACATCCGAAGAAAAAACAGGAACAGCAGGCTCATGAGCACCTTCTTCAGCAGCAGCGGGAGCAGGAGCTCCACGACCAGCAGCAGCAGAAGGCGGTGTGCCTTCGGCAGCAAGACCGTGCCCAGCGCAAGCTTCGGCGCTCCCATTCTGGCCCTGCCGGCTCCTTTAACAAACCCTCTGCCCTCCGCCTGTCCTGTCATCAGCGGAACACCCAGTGCCCGGACAAACCCGAAGTCCCTCCTCGAGTACCCATTCCCCCGAGGCCAGCTAAGGCAACCTCTGACTACCGCCGCTGGTCAGCGGAGGTATCCTCTGGGGCTTACAGTGACGAAGACAGACCTCCAAAAATTCCCCCCAGAGAACCTTTGTCCAGTGGGACATCCCGAACGCCGAGCCCCAAGAGCCTCCCTATTTACCTCAACGGGATCATGCCGCCCACCCAGAGCTTTGCCCCGGATCCTAAATACGTGAGCCGGGGCTTGCAGAGGCAGAACAGTGAAGGTTCCCCGTGCATTTTACCCATCATGGAAAATGGCAGGAAGGCCAGCACCACGCACTACTTCCTGCTGCCGCAACGACCCGCGTACCTAGACAAACACGAGAAGTATTTTGTGGACAGTGCGGTGAGTCGAAGCACCGAAGCCTCAGGCTCCAGTCTAGACTCGGTCTGTCAAAGCAAAAGGAAAACGCACTCAGACTTTGTGTAAGGTGGAACATACAGAACATGGACTGTGCCTCATTTTACGAGAGAACCATTGTCCTGCTGCCTGAGCACCTAAAGGACTCTTCTGCAGCTTGCAAGCAGTTATTAGTTTTACCCTAGTTTTTGAAAAAGTAGGGTAAGTTACATACCAATTGCAGTTACTGAGAATTCTTGTTGCTGTGTCCTTCTCACAATGGAAACAAATCTCTGGCATGAAAGTGCGGCTTTGGAGGCACTAGTCACTGTGGACAATATTGCAAAATAATTGTGTTTTATTAATTCATTGTTTATTGTTGTGTGATACTTAAGTGTTTTAAATGATGCTGTGGTGCAGTTATTAGGTATGAGCTGGTCTGGTACCTCATTTTATTCAGTGTTTTGTTTTTTTGTTTTTTTTTTCTTTCTTTTTGGTAGTCAGGCTTTATATTGCTTTGAAGAATTGCTGCTTCTGTGGCTGAAATTGTGCTCCAGAGCTTCTTCTGTGAAAATAGAGGGACAGCGAGTCAGTAGAGCATCTGTTCATTTTGTGTTGCACACGAAATATGAAGTACAAAAAAGGCCAAGCTGTTTCGTGGCCACATTTTTAGTGAAGGATATTCCATGAAAATCTGTCTATTCCATTGTGAATAAATAGGCACAAAGTTGCTGTTTAGCCTCCTGGGTCACTAATGCTCTAAGCTGTTGTCCAGAGACTTTGCCTGTTTGTGTTTGTGTGTGTGTATATATGTGTGTTTGTATGTGTGGCCCCATCTGTGTTGTATTTCTCCGATTTTGATTGTGAAAACTGCAATCGGAAGTTCTGCTGACATTGTGCATGTTACATAGGAATGGTCTAAATATAGTATTTGCGTTCATTGTTGTGCATGGACAATATTTGTTATGCTGCAAAGCTTTACGTACAGAATGTACCCATGATACATTTTGTTGTAAATAGGTGTAGTACCAATCAGAAGTTGGTTAGCTTTTAAACAGATGAGTGTTGGCTGCTGATGCTGATGTTTTTCATAAATTTACCAAACAATATTTTGATCTGACAATTCCTTATGAACGCAAGGTGACAGTGATAACAAATTTGGCTTGGATAAACAGGGACTCCTCCCATTTTTTCCCCGTTCAAGTTGTGTTGGCTACCTTCTGCATGATTTGAGACTTTCACAGCAGATATTTAAAAAAGGGTTATACCTGAGTGAGTGATAACTTTATAATTGGATTTTTTTCCACTTAATACTACAAAATCATAACTTTACCACACTTGAAAATTTCAGGTCGGGAGTATTTCTCATGCAAGAAAAGGGTAGGGCGAATGTTTCCTGTTTTTAGTTACTTTTGAAAGTGTAGCCAACATAGTTCTTTATTGCGCAAAAATAGGTGACTGTTTTGAAACCTGTGAAAGTGTGTAGGTCTTGTTCTCTAGCTGTTGTCTTTGAATAGCTTAAACAAGCTGTGAGTCAGAGTTGCGAAAAGGACTGTCCCCAGTACTACCTCCCTTAACAGGAATGAAAAATACTTCTCTTCATTAATATCTCATTATCTGAGAACGATAACGAATCATGCATGGACTAAGTAGACAAAGCCTTTACTATCTCAAGCCATTTTTCCCTCCAATGTACTTAAGGCCAGGAAAACCATTAAGTCTAATCTCAAATTGATTACATTGTTTTTCTTTCTACTCGACCAGACACAATCCTTCTCTCTGGTTCAAAATCTCTCAAACGTTTACTTAAACCTGTGTATGTAGCTATGTCCGTGTCTAGTACATTTGGCTGACCTGACAGAAACAGTCTTTCCTGTTCCTGTACATGCATACCTGTCAGACGTGATTGCTGTGGGTGTGGACCTTGGAGACTTTGGCTGCTGGCAGCACGTAAATGAGATGTTTTATTGTTATATATTGTTCCAACACCACCGTGATTACTCAGTAAATGTAGCAAGTGCATCATGGTAACCCTGAAAATAATAATAAAAAAAGAAAACAAACCCACAAACGTGCTGAGCTCACAGGTCAATACATCGAGTTCAAAAATTTCCACGTCACATCAGGAAGGGACACAAACAGAACTGATGCCACTTTTTTGTATTCCTTTTTTTTTTTTCCTTTTACAAAAATTCATTTATCAACAAAAATGTTTACATTGTACATTTGTATTATTTAACCTTTTGACCTGTTTCCTGTGTCTTACCTGAAAGAAATGAAGGCAAGTTCAAGAATAGCTAATAGACTGTGGTATAGAAGAAAAAAGGCAGAAGCAAAATGCACTGAGAGAGCAGTATATTATGATGTGTAAAAGTATTTAACATAGTCCTCCTGAGTAGTGCTATGTGTAGTATAGCCTTTAAAAGAAAAAGAAAATAAACACACTTATTTATGAATCGAGTTTGCTTCTTAATCTGATGTCCTGTTGTATTTCATTCTCTGAAAGATGGCCTATCTCTCCGGAACACAAAGATATTGCTGTTTTGCCTGTTTTATCCCACCCACGCCTCTGCCTCATTACTGCTGGCCTCGTTCCAGACAGGAGGAAGGTGAATTACGCTGTCACTCAGCCACTGATCTGAAATCAGTTTTGTTTGTGGCGTAATGGTTAAGGTTTTGATTTCTGATAGGGGCGTTAGGCCCGGAGTGTTACCGCACGACTTGTGCCAAAGACATGAATCACTCATATACACACACACACACACACACACACACACACACACACACACACACACACACACACACTCAACAACCTGCTCGGCTTCCTGTTCGTCATTGTGACATTTTGCCCTCCTGATTAGCTGGAGAGCGAAAAGGAGAATCTGGTCTGATCAGGTCTCCACTGAGGTGATCATACTAGTGCATGTCCCAAGTATAGAGCAAGCAAACCACTTAGACTGACCTGTGTACCACTCAGTTCACAGTCGTGCTTAGTAACGTGGTTTTTGTAGTCGTGAGACTTTAAATTGTGATTGCTTTATGCTGTGTGATAAGGCCATTAAGCTTTATAGTATAATGACTCTGAAGTTTTTTTCATTAGTGGAAACGGAAGCAGGTGGTTCACCTTCCGAAATATTAACTCGACTTGAATGTAAACTGACTGACAACACTGGCTGTTGCCACGGTGATTGTACAATCAGTGATAATAATATTAATAACAATTCTGAGAAGAAAAATTAAGGAAGTTGAGGATATTTTAGCTAGTTTGAACCTTATGATTACCATGTTAACTTTATCCGCAATATCTGGCTATGAATTCATCTTCTAATCTCAAATTTTATCTTTGAATTTTTGTCTTGGGGGGCCAAAGTGCTGTGTTTGTGGTGGACTGAGGGCTAAACAGACAAAACTAATATAAAGTTATCAAAATACTTCAAAAAAGACATTTTGTAAATGAAAGTAAGAATCAGTGATTATACACACACACACACACACACACACACACACACACACACACACACACACTATATATATATATATATATATATATTATATATATATATATGAATATATATGAGAGAGAGAGAGAGAGAGAGAGGATAAAACAAAAAAATTGTTCTCTCATTGGTCGGGGTAACTTTCTGGTGGGACAAATCAAATCTCATGGGTCAACTCTGGCCCAAAGGCCTCACTTTGGGCAGCTCTGCTCTAGAGCAAGCTTTTTTTCGGTTTAAGGCTAGGAACCCCGCCCCCCCCTTGTGATGAATCCTAAGGGTGGGATGAACCTTTTTTAGCCTTTGGGGTTGATTTTTTGGGGGCATACTGTTTCATAACATTTATAATTAAATCCATGGGAAAGCAGAATGCCAATGTCACTGGAGCCGAATATTGCAGCCGCATAACTGTAGGCACTGTCTTCAAATCATCATTACGATGGAGAAAATGGATTATCTGACAGAAATGACTCATCAGATAAGGAGGACAACAAGGTGAAAGCTAAAGTTAGTGAGGTCGTTGTCTATCTGCATACCTCGGCTTTGCTTTCTTTTCTCTGGATGAAAGTTTGAAAAAGGTAGAATAAACATTTTGTGCTGAATACAGATAGAATAACTGGTTTACTTTTGATTTTATACCACAACTGATGTAAAAGTAGCTCTATTGCTAGCTTGGTTTTATCCTCTTGCCTCATTGGCTAGGACAGCAATCAGGATTGGTTGATACCACAGGGATTCCCAATAGTTCTATGAAGTTTTTGCTAGTTGTGGTGAGAGTAATGAATGAGTGATGAATGAAAATATGGATGCAATATAAAATTGTGAATTCTAATTCAGTAATGCTGAGTAAAACAATGCTTCGCTACAGAAATACTGAATAACATGACAAATAACATGCTAAACCCTAGTTTTAGGCCGAGAAGACCCTTTTAAGATTTGAGTTCAGATATGATTGACCAATGATATTAGAACCAATTAAATAAAAGTGGACATTAAATGCAGGTGAAATGATGTAAATCAATTTAAATAATTTCAGCTGTATAGCACTTTACATGTTATGACTGCTTGCCTCAATTACCATAAGCAGAACAAAGGACATCCCTCGATAATGTAGTAGCTAGCGTGTGCCGTTAAGCATAATACCCACACTGTGGATGTGCTGTTAATGAAATACCTCAAAAATGATATGTGCCCAGCTTAATCACGCTGTGATCAAAGGAAGATTTATCACACCATCAGACTAAAAGATGAAAGAACACATCAAAGACCAAGAAACATGCCAAAGTTATATGGTGGAAAGCAAGCCTGGAGTGAGCAGCTAACATTTAGAAACGTTTGTGACATTGAAAGGCCTCTGAAAGCTTTGAGTGCAGTAAAAAGAAGTATGCTGGTAGCAGCAGCCTTAACCTCTTCAACTCCTTGAGACAACCGTTGGTTCCAAAACACATATTCATAACTTTCAGATTTCATAAGCTACATTCAAAAGGTGGGTGTCTACTTTCCAGTCCAATAGATGAGTAATGTAATTTTAAACCCTTATAATAAAAGAACCTGAACTCAGTTTTTTTGTCTACTGAAAGTCGACCCATTTTTCCACAAATCAGGGTTATCAACTATAAACAGATGGCGTCTCTTCAGTGATCTGCTCTGTAAAAATTATTTTTATAAAATAATACAAAGAGCATCTAAGATTTTTGGCTTTCAGTAGTAAACTGTAAGCATATAGCAATTTGTGTATGATCATAAAACACATGCTCTGTTAATTTGAAGGGAGCTTTTATTTTATTTATTTATTTTTGTAAAAATTTACATTAATTACACGCAGTTACTGAATAATTTGCCTTATGATTTGGTAATGTAAACCAAAATATACCCTGAAGAACAGTCTAGTCTTTCTTACCAACTGCAGACACTTATGGCTCTTTGTCTTTCTGTTTCATTTGAGGTTATGAAATCTCATGTCATGTGGACTGAAGTGTGGTTGTCAAGGTGACAAGTCACACCCATAGCTTTTTTTCTATCGCTACAGTTCAGTAATCCCTGTCAACTCCACAGGCACAGTGACCCAAATTCATACTGAGCCATGCTTTAGGTCATTTTGATTAATGAGTGATGTGGTAGTTATAATGCAATTTATGGATTTGTGGTTCTTTTTTTAAACAGTTAGCCAGTTGATGAATGGATTCTGCTGCGTAGGCATTGCTGGGATCCTTCTACCCAAAGGCAGATCTCCAGCCCTTTGAGCTGTGAGCTACACTTTTGGAACAATGCTTGACTGTGATTTAACTTACTGTGATGGATTAGATGCCTCTCAAAAGGACAGTGACCACCACCCTTATGTGAGTAGTTACTGCTTAGGGACATAGTTTTATTAAAATGGGTGAAAGGTCAGTTTTGACAAACCCTCACTACCAACAAGCATGTGGCCATGACATCTTTTGGGAATTGTGTATGCAAACAGGTGTGGCTCACTGATAATGAATAAACATTATAAGGTTATAATGAACTAGCCTAGAAACATAAACAGTGCAGGCCTTATCAGTGCAGCAGTGTACGATTATGTAAAGCTGTCTATGGTATTAGAAGAAAATCTTTAATCATAAGATTAAAATGTGTTGGATAGATGTATCTATGTACACTGGGCCCAAATGTACAACATTTCTTATGAAATCACAGGTATTAATAGGGGGTTTATCCTTCTTTCCTGCAGTACCAGCCTCTACTCTTGTGGGAAACTTTACACTAGATGTTGGAAGATTGCAAGAAATTGGTTGCATTCAGCCTCAGGAGCACCAGGTGCTGATGTTGGATGATTAGCTCTGGATCAAAAACACCACTTCAGCTCGTCTCAAAAGGTACTGAATGGTGCTACTTCACTGCAGAAAATGCAGTTCAACTGCTCCACAGCCCAATACTGGGAGTCTTTATACCCCTCTAGCCGACGCTTGGCATTGGATATGGTGACTTAGGCTCATGTGTGGCTGATCCAAAGTGTCCCACTTTATTGCCAATGATTTGTCAGCAATGACAATGACAATTCACTAATGTGTCTACTTTTGGACATACAGTGCTTCTGGAATCTTCCATTAAAACCTATTAACATTATCACCATGCAGCCAATACATGTGGAAATGTGTCTTATTAAATCCCAGTGTGGTACTTTGAGAAAAAAACGTGGGGAAAAAAAGTAATGAAGTGCTGGCAAATATTTTATAGCATCATTTAAAAAGACTGTCTGTGGTTGGACTTTAAGGATCCATTTTCAAGTCTGTAGTGCGCTCTGGTGGCAAAGGGGTATTACTGCATCTTATGGTGCTCATCCTAATGTGGATGGTTAACTATAGTCGGCTAAATACCACTAAACTCGTGTGTCATCTAGAATTAAGCAATAAACCACAAAAAGAGTGGGTTATTGTAGTTTTATCACACCAAAGGATATTCACATAATTATTTATTGGAAAATGTGTATAAGTTCTTATAATAATTTACTTCCCTTAGTGGATGGTGTTGTTGCCAAGCCACCCATGTGCTTGTCTTTGCCATGGACTGCTGAATGAGAAGAACATTCAGTCGCCCATTACTGTATATTGCGGTCATTTTATGAACGTTTTATATAATTAAAAATGTTATATAGTAAAATCTGTTAATTGATAAACCTATCATAACATAGCACTGTTTAATGCAAAAAAACCCTCACTTTATAAGTACTTTTTGGTCACCAAATTACCACAGTGTGATTTCCAGTCATGTTTAGCATGAAGCTAACAGCACCCCTTTCCCGTGCTGGGGCTCAGTCTCAAATGGCTGCCTGCTCCCTACATAGTGCACTCCATAGGAATTTAAATACTGGCTCCTGCACCCCAAGAGTGCATAATATAGCTTAAAATTTGTCATTTGGGATTCAGCCACATCCATACTGAACAAATGGTGCAATATTTGGCTGTAGAAGCTAGAATCCCAAA